TGTAAGTTATTGACCTCATACCTAGTCTACAACTCAAAGACCCCGGGATGTTGGCTGGTCTTTTTTTTTTTTTTTTTTTTTTTCTTTTTTGGACGCTACCTAGATTCAGTATTTACGAAAACATGACTATGGGTCTGTTATTCGGCCTCGAGTCTAATGCAGAATAATAATAATAGACATTGTTTAAGTACGCGAAGTACTCGGTGCGCCACATACTAATCATTGCTACTTCTATGTATATAAGTACCTACCTAACATATGTATGGCTGAAAGGTTCCCCTGTAATAGGTCAACTTACATGGGTACATGGGGTTGGTAACTTCCATTGTATAATCACACCTTGAGGTACTTGGTGTGTGTCTAATAGCAGCTAAGGCAAGCGACTAATTAGACGCGAGCGCTTGTTCTTTACCCCTGCTTACCTAACGCACGAGCTAAGTACAGCTATTTTGATAGTAACATGGCGGAGGGTCAGAAGTACCAAATTGCCTAAGGAGGGTTTGTGGATTTGCCGCTGCGTCACTCCACTAATAAGGAAAGGCCAGTACCTAGGTATGTACATAAGTACCTAAGACTACCTACCTACGAAGTACGCTTGCAGGGATTAGAATCCTAAGTACACCTCGTGCGATTAAAGAAGGAAATTGGCTCTTCGCAACTAATAAGCGACTAACCTAACATCTTCCTCTCTCACCTACCTCCTACCTCTATCGAACATTTCTTCTGTCCTTCTCTCATCTCCAAATCTGTAACACAGTCAGGCTTTCCATGCATGCCGTTTCATTCGCGATTCCCACCTATTATACATACTATAATACGGCGACTAATACACTAAACAGTTGACGTACTGCGGATCTATGATCCACTGAGATTCGTGCCCTGGCAGCTGAAGAGTCCATTGCCATGCTCTGCCCATGTTTAGGCCCTTGCCATGCCATGTGCTTCGGCCGCATCTCACGGCCGAGGTCGAGCAAATTGTGAGATGAACATCCTTCTCCGCTGTGAATAGAACAGAGAGCTCCATTGACGTCGGTCCCGGAGCCGTGCGGTGATAAACGGCGGGACTGGAGTTGAGAAGTCTTGTGTACCACGGTTTAGACGTCATATCCCTAGTTTACCTGGCTGCCTGGATGTTTTAAGCAGGGTCTTTTTTGTTATGTTACCTATATTTCTACGATCACACTCTAGACCCTTGACAACCGGACAATGGCAATTTCCTAATTGCCGACTGATCAATCGCTCATAACACGTTCGTAGCTTTTCTAATCACATCGTTTCTTGCGCGAGAAGACCCTTGCAGTCGTATGCTTGAAGGCTTGCCGTGCCGTAGAAACACGCGCGGTACAGTACGGACCACACGGTACCCTGAGCGAGATAGGTTAGACGGGGTTTGATGAGTAGGTATGGATGAGGCAGGTCAACCAAAAGAACAAGTCACAGAGTTGGCACTGCCTGCTTACGTTCTCCGCGAAGAAACACCAAAGCCACCCTACCCCGTGTTAGGTCTTGCCGCGCTTGGCTTAACTACACCCCTCTGGCCTCTGGTCGTGGATCTATCCCCATCTCGGACTCTTGTAGCTCTAATACCTATGGTATATGCCTTTCATGCAACTCTCGCAACGCGCGCATGCCGCCTTATCGCTGACTTTACCCCTCTATGCTATGCTATGCTATGCTTACTTACGTTATAGATGTCAGGAACCAAGCGATTAAAAGTCTACCCCTGTCATCAGAGCAGCCGTTACGGCCCTGACGAGGTGACGAGGTGACAATATGTGTGTGTCTGGGATCAATTGCTATGTAGGTCCTCGTCGAACCAAACATTGATCAAGCAGCAGATCGCTGGGGTATGCTAGTATGTACAATACCCTACACGAATTAACATAATCTGCCCAGCTTGCTATCATCTGTCTCCTCGATTCTATCTTCTCTTCTGACCCCCGCTCTTCTCTCACCACCCTGGTCTTCTCCCCGTCTCCCGTTTATGTATTATGTATGTGCCTACATATGTACGTATCAGCCCCGGTCGATCCAGGACAGACCAGGTGGTGAAGAAATGATCCACAGGACAGGCGAGGTACTTCTGCCATGTATGTCTAACAGGGTCTTCCTCGTCGCACCCCACACCCACTTCTTCTTCACCCTGCCTTACATAGTATTTACGTCGTACCCGCCTTTTCGACTAGAACACCCATGTAGCTAGGTACTAGCTCTACGGCGTTGACTATGAGATGTACTCTCTTGTACACATCGCTGTTGACAAGGGTTCCCATCTTCTCCCACGCAGCACCATACAATACGTAAGGTCGAAGCCAGAGGTGCTCCACCAAGGTACTGCCTTCGATAAATTTATAAGCACTCGATGTTCCTGCCATCGCGACTACTGAGGCTGAGATTCTCAGATACAAAACGCTTACCCAAACCTAGCCGTTTAAAGTCTTCCTACTCGAGCTATTCTCATATTCGTCTCTGAAACAGCTTGGCCTCTATCGTTCTTATAAGTCATAAGGATCGCCTTCCCATCTCGATTCCAGCCGACGATAACTTATACACCAACTCATCCCGACTACAGACGTAGTGATACTGTACGTGTGCTTTTTTACTATATTCGGTGCTCGACAAGACGTTATTCTTTTGCTATGATGGATCATTACTCTCGATTAGAACGGGATTCCGAAGATTCTTACTCACACCTACCTAGATCAAGAGCTAGCAGCGCAGTTTCGACGACAGCAGGGTTTCGCAACTTAGGCCTCGTCGATTCGCATTATAGTCAACCAGCATCTTCGCTAGGGTCCCAACCGCATTATACCAATACCCCTCATCGCTCTGCGCCATTTATACCAGACCATACATCTTATCCAGCTCTACCTTCTCAGGGCACTTTGGATGCTGAGTGGAACGAGAGGCAATCTCAATCTCAAGACACACCTTTATTAAGGGTCGATCCAGTCCGGGATTCTTCCCCTTCTACATCTTCTTTACCTCCAACAACATCCATAATGAGGTGAGTTTTCCTAGTAAGGTCATCACAGGACTGGAGCTCACGATGAACAGTACCGTAGCAGTAGCTTTCGACCCTAGATTGGAGATGGGGATTCCCCGCTCCTCTTACACATGGCCGGTTCTCGAGTCGGGTCCTGATCTATTAGGGCACGATCTAAGTTCCGTTGGCCATGGTTCCGATGCCAGCATGACTCCTCCGAGCGGCTCTCGATCTTTAACCTCCAGCCCGCCGAGGTTCACCTTGACGCCAGAGCAGCGCGAACTTAAGAGACAGCGAGATCAAGTTCGACGGGATTCAAAGTCATCAGCTCGAGTGCGCCGTGCTATGAGCACATACTCCTCTGCTTCTCAATCTCCTACGCTTTCAATGCACGAGTTTTCTTCTGCGTCGCCTGTGCCGGTGTACTCGACAGCGCCATCGCAAATATCTCTTCTCGCGGAACCGACAACTATGGCGGGGTCATATATGTCATCTTACTCAACATCACCTCTTCCCGACCACGGCTCGCCAATGTTCACATCTCACTTTTCTTCGTTGTAAGTTACTTAATGGAGCGATTCGGTTTTCGCGATGCTAATAATTGGTTCAATAGGCCACCTGCCGATTACCTGGGCTTGAACTACTCTCCGGGCTACCCTCCACCACCCCCTTCTGCCCACAGCCTATCTTCTCAATACAGGTTCGTACAATTATGAGCATATATATAAAATATCCTTTCTAATAATCGTAATAGTCGCCCGTCACCCCCGATGCACGAACCTGGAATGATGTATCCTGTTCAAGCTCCTCAGGTTCTCTCTTCTGGCAGCGGCGCCGCGCAGGAGGCCGGTCACGTTCGTGTCGTTCAAAGTCGACCCAAACCACAGTGCTGGGAACATGGCTGTAACGGACGACAATTCTCAACCTTCAGCAACCTTCTAAGACATCAACGTGAGAAGTCGGGACAAGCTGCTAAAGCGACATGTCCCAACTGTGGTGCTGAGTTCACAAGAACTACTGTAGGTTTTAAACCCGAATCCTTACCAATGATACGTTAGCTAACTGATGTTGAAGGCTCGCAATGGACATCTACTTCACGACAAGTGCAAGCAAAGGCGAAACAGTTAAAAATTAAAAACCAAATAAAAATAAAAATCAGACTGCACTTTGTACGATTTAAACGATGGATGGACGATTGTTAAAGATCCCGAGGCTGAAATACGGATGCTACGAGAATTGTTTGGAGCGGGACAGGGTTTAGACGACGGCTCGACTGGCATGCAAAACAATCGGATCTGTTTTAATACGGAGTCTATATGGGATTATGATTTTTTAGGGATTCACGAACTTTGGATATGGCGCGGAAGATTAAGCATATACCCCCTTTTTCGATATCGTGTCTTACTTAGTTCGACTTTCGATCTTTGATCACTTCACCCTGTACATTTTTGACATTAACGGAATTGGAACACTTTTTCTCTAACCACTATTTGCGCAACTTGTGACTTGTGATGTTCTGACGATAAAATTTTGACGAATACCAACCATCTTAGTACCTGCTAGACGGAGACTAGCAGGCAAACGTGATCGGGACCGAGAGGTTATCGTCACCGTAGTTGGTAAAACATGTCGCACATGGGTAGTCCCCCGCTAACATGCAATCAATACTACTTGTGTGTGCGCGCAAATGACGTGGGGTTGGCTTTGGTTGGCTACCTATGCAGTATTGCCTATGACCGAACGTCTATCACGACTGATCGGGTTAAGGTTAGGAGAAGTCTTGTCTGCTTGCTATGGCACGATGCGACTATACCCCGATAGGGGCGACTTGGGGAAAATCCAAAGATGATCTCGAAGACAGAGTTGCTGGGGAGACATGGGGAGGCATGGGGAGACATGGATAAGCTCCCTATTAGGGAGGATTACAGCTGCAGGAGACTTACAGACCTACCATGGCCAGTATAGATCAGGTATAGGCAGCAAAGATGTAGGCCGTAGACCAGGTGGCGGGCAGGGGATAACGTTACAATACATAAGAACTAACTACACAGAACTACATACATACATAGGTAGGTAACTATATGTAATATAATACAGCCGTGGTCAGCTTCCAGATTGGGAGACACTCTACCTCGAATGATATCCTATTCCGTACGAGAGTGCCTGCTTATAGTAGTAGATAGTCTCATCGCACCAATACCCACTATACCCTGCGTGCTGTTAGGTCCAGTCGTGGTGCATTATTCATTGCATTCATCTAGAAAGTCGCCATGTCGTAGCGGAGGACGACCGTTACCAAGCCAAGACCGCAATGAAACGATGGAATATTCCACCCTTTTTTTTCTTCGAAATTCCCTGCTTGTTTTAACAACATTCGGCCGAAACAAGGGTTTCCCACGTGAGGGGTTCAGCTGGTTCTCAAGGTCCAATTTGTGCGTGTTCCCCCTCTGGGTATTCGTATCGCTCTTATCGCGCACCCGTTTTAATAAAGCAAAAGCTCGTTCAAGCTCCTCGGGGGCCCCCTCCCGCCAATTAATTGATGCTATCGTACATATGCCGCTTCGTATAGTGGACGAATGGTTAGTAGAGGACGGACAATCAGAAATGGCGAGCCGAGCTTTTTAGTGTAGCACGATATGGCGACGGGGTTGGCTTGTTCAACTATACCCAGGTACGTAAACGTAAAGGCGTGATAACAAACAATGTAGGTAGCTTTTGTTCTGCAGCGTCAGATAGGTACCTACCTACAACAAACAGGGGCCCCAGATCTTGACGCATGGCTTTCTGACGGGCGGTGGGATCGGCCGAATCTCAATGCCGTGTTCTATACAAAATTACTTAACTAAAGCAAGCTAGAAGCTAGGTTATGTAGATAGACTACGTGGGTGCATCGTCAAGTAAGCAGAATACTTACACTACCTACCTACCTACCTACGTAAAGTACCATTCGATAAACCAAAATGGCCGGGGGACCAATGATCCCCTCGAAGACGCTCGGATACAATACTACCCGACCGTCTGTTGGAACCTGGAGAGACTGTGGACTTTGTGTTGGAGAAGCGATGCGAGCACAGCCTTGACCGGGGAACCAGGGGTGCAGGGGGGAAAGCCATGTGCCATAAATGTCTGTGTGCAATGATGCCAGAAATAGAAGCAGGCTGCGAGCTACGGCATTGGTCTTCAGATTGATTGAGGAGACGATCGTTGCTACGTTTTCAAGAGAGCATGTGCACCGATTGTATGGCTGGTTCCTTGGTTTAGCGGATCATGGAAGCTGGTATTTTCTCGTTCTCGTTCTGTAGATCCCGGGGACTTGTTTTCCTACATATTGCGATGAACTTGTTGTAAAGTGTACATGTATTTTATGATGATGGGACCTCAGCTTTGGAAAACGGCGACCATTTAATAAAGTGGATACTTGCATCATCGGGTACCTCGGTACGGAGCTAGTAGCTCTAACCCTTACTTAGGTAATCCACAACGTCGACATGCAGGGCTTAGTGCTTAACCTAAAGGCTCCTTCCGTCAATGAAATGCCATGTGGATCGTCTTGATTTAAGTTCAAGCTTGAATCCATCGCGGGTAACTTGTATATATAAATAAATAAATCTTTACCTCCGCTAAAACAGAATTATACCGGTTAGGTTTAGTAAGTTTACGTTTTTAAGAAGGCCTAAGGATGCGTACCTTATATAACATAACGAAAGAGGAATAATATTGAACTTGATATAGTTTATCTCCCCACAACACAAAACCCCAACCCAAATTAATAACTAGCCTACCTAGGTAGGTACCTTCAGATTATACACCGGCGGATATTTGTTTAGAAGACCGATAAGCCGGGTAGGTGTTTGCAGTTATCGGCGTCACAAGGTCTAACAACTCGCTTGCTCGGTATCCATATCCGAAAATAGTCTAACAGTTAGAAGCAAAGAAAGTCAAACAAATGGCAAGGTCTGTAGAAACTAACCAAACGACCTCTAAGCGTTGTCCTACCAAACGTTGAACATAATTCGTTGGGTTAATTGATAAGAGACAGGCACAGCACGAGTGAGACCCACCAAAATACTGGTCTAAACCAGTGGTAGTACACACAATTGTGGGCCCAGCTGGTCAGTCGGCAAGTTAGGTAGGTAGGTTAGGTAGGTACCTACTTATTCTTTCTACCATGAACAACAATCACGTTGTTATGCCACTACCTATCCACAATCAAATCCCGAGATTCAAACTTCAATCCAAACATGGCAAAAGTTTGATTCTGGCCGACGATCTGGTCTTACTATCTCCGCCTGGAACTGCGCCGTCGAATATCTCTCTTTATATACTGACCCTTGAATTAATGCCGAACACGGTCACCGGGACTTCGCGCCGGAATCTTGGTCCTAAGCGGACTTGCTATATGAGCATGTCTGTGCAATAAGCTTAATTTTATTGGATGATAGGCAAGATGTGGATATGAGTCGGCTGCTTAAACACCTAATCCGGTAAAAGGTGTGCGAGGCGGTCTCGCAGGCCAACTATCAACAATTTTTACCCTTGCCTCCCTGAGAAAGAACGCAAAAGATGATGTCAGGGTCTAACCGAGTACGAATTTCCGCGAATGGGGACAGGTATTCTCCTAAATTCCGATGTCCAAATTGTCCGTGGCTTGCTCGGTGTATAGGTCTCAGGTCTGTACAACTGCAATAACAACGAAATTAGGGACTCGCCGAGGCTCGCTGTAGCTATCCGTCTTATCTCCTTTGCGAGTTTGCAAAACTACATGTAGTCTACCTACGTAGTCTATCAAAGAGGCAAGCATCCCAGCTCCCCTGGACCGCGGTAGAAAATATACTAGGTACAGCCATGCGCGTATAAAAAGCAGATACAGGTACTATGTAGGAAACAATATATCGATCTAGGAGTTAAAAGGTAGGTCATTACCAAACGACCGGTTTGATAAGCTGTGTCACCATCTCACAGCATCGGACACTCCGCAGCGCTACAGGCCGCGGACGGTTTCACGAAGCAATGGGGGTCGTGGGGTACGCGATTATCTCCGTATGATGGACTTACGAGCCTCAACGGATGTCGCCCCCCCTATCGATGACCAGGATAGTATGCTTATCTCAAGACGATGGATAGATATCATAGTATAATGTTTCTGTCAGCCCCGAAGTTACTACTACTATATGTGCCAAGAATAGGGACTTAATAAACGCTTGCAAGTGCTGCACTGGCCGGCAAAACGATGTTACCGATACATCGAGCAATCTTAAGCCAGCGTCGCTCTCGCCCGTTATGTCGTGAGCTGTAAAGCATAACATCTCGGCTGCGCCGTATACTTACAGCACGTAGTGTATTATCGCCGATTCGGATTCGGATAAAAGATGGTAGGTTAGTTGTGCGAGCTAATTTCAAACCCAATTTTGGAATTATTGTTCGATTAACCAACCTTACCATACGACTGAACCGCATGCTAATTTCGTACTAACATGTTCCCGCGCCGCATCGCTTGACGGAGGACGGGGTACGATCGGGTTCTTCGGGACGTACGACGGAAGATGTAGCCGACACATACCAACTAAAAGTACCTAATGTACATAGACTATAGTACCGGATTTACGATTTACGGAGTGGCCGTTGGCGACCAACCACGCGGTTTTGTGAACTAGACCACCAAGAGCTACTTTGGTTGCAGTGCAGCTCTTGAAACGGTTCTGGGTGGGTGGTGATTACTACACTGCAAGGCCTTGTCAGGTTTTAAAGCTCGCAGACAGCCCCGGTCCAACGTGCTCCGAACCACCTGACCTACACGTGTGAAAGCTGCAGGCCGAACGTGGGAGGCGAGTGTTAGCTTGACTTCGAATGTAACCAAAAGAACATTCTCCTGCGTCTTCTGCGCTTACTATACATATCCGTACCTTAAAGGAGTTGAGCAGCTGTTGGTCAAGTGGTCAGGTGTACTAAGTAGCCGGCCTAGACCTCGGGCAGCTGTCACGAATTTCATGATTTATACTTGATGTAAACTTGGTACGATATAAACTTGGTACGATATATCAAACGATTCCCAAACAGGAAAAAGATAATTCACGCATACGCATATACGCGGCGACAAATATAGAGAGGTATCGTATAGTGAGACACTACCTAATCTGGTACATCCAAACGACTTGGAACCAATCGTATTGTTTACCCAAAATCGGCTATATCACTAAACGATATCTAACTTATTACTACCTAGGCCTGTATTCACAAAGGCGGGACAGATTGGCTTCGCGCAACCACCTATGTCAGCCCTAAATCATCTTACTCACTCAGCCGTCCTCAAGCCTAGCTTTTAACGCAGTAAGGCCGTATGGCTTGCGTCTGACAGATCTGCGCCGTCGTACCTTGTTTCATGTTGCAAGTGGGGGAGGGCGAGAGGGGGGGAGTCCACGTACATACCTAAGTGGTAGGTAGGTAGGTAGGTAATGCCTATCATACATAGCGGCTGGGAAATACTTATGAGTACCTCTTTTGAGGCGCCGCCGCGCCGTATGTAGTAACGCTAGAGGGGTGCGTGGCCAAGCTGACCGGCCGACTCGATGCGTGGTTTCTATTCGTGTGCCCCCGCAGCACGTTTCTTGCCCACAATGCGACTTGCATGCAGTGTGGGACTGGCTCGCTATTCGTCAACGCCGCAGTCAACCAGAGTCGCCCTCTTTGCTTACCATAGCACCATAGTTAGAAAAGAGGGGAGAGCCGGGGGTGACGAGCTTATAGTTTCCCCTCTTAAAACCCCGTGTGTGTATGTATGTATGTGTGTGTGTGTGTGTGTGTGTGTGTGTGTGTAAACTCTGGACGAGTTTAATTAACTAGTTATACCCGGAATTCTCCTTAGTCCTGATATGCATCAAATATCTATAATACCTACTACGTAGTTGTAAGAGTGGTATTAAAAGATGGTGTCAGAAGCTTTCAAGGGGAGAGAGATCAGGCATTCTAATTTCGTCAGGTATTTTAAGTTTCTCAGATTAAGATTAACGAGCGAAAGTAGAATGTCGATCACAGGGCCTTATCGCTAGTGCATCTATGTTATTTACCTCCTGGTATATACTGTACCAATGCGACATCCGTATCGGCGAGAGAAATTACAGTACGCTAGGACGCTAAGACGCTCTAGGGTTAAGAGGTGGTTATAAGTGCACGGTTGGGGTAGGTAATGCGAAAGGATGTTGCGATAAACGCTTCAGCCGCGCGAGGCACCCTGTAAAATACAAGCTGATAACAGACATGGAAGGCACTGTACTTATGTACAATACATGATGTATCCAAGTAGTGTACTACGCTATAATAGCGCACAGACCATTAAGATGATCGCACCTACTAGGTTAATGCGTATGATGAAATAGCAATAGCCGCGGGCAACAGCAATGCCTTTTCACCGCCTACCTAAACCGCCCCAAAGATTCCATAACCCATAACCCATAACCATTGATTTTGCCTAAGCTGATTGAACCTTGTCAGCCCTTAACTCGAAATTGCCTACTACATACGACACTAGCTGCCTAAACGACGCGACGACTAGGAGGCAACGCTTTCTCAACCGCTAAAAATAATTCTTACAAGCTCCATACTAAGTGTTTTTTTCGTCCCGTCGCGTGTGTTTCTGTATCCGCCAAGGGGGGGGTTATGGTACATCGATGTATCAGCTAAATTCTCATCTACAGTTGTCCACTGACAACAATAGCAACGAGACGAGATGACTGCGGATGTTGATACTAAGTGGAACGCGCGAAGAAGACACGCCATCCA